TTCTTGGTCAGTTTACTTTGACTGGGATTCCCCCAGACCCTCGTGGAGTCCCTCAGATTGAAGTTACATTTGACATCGATGCCCATGGAATTGTACATGTTTCTGCCAAAGATAAGGGCACAGGACATGAGCAACCGATAGTGATCCAATCTTCTGGTGGATTAAGCAAAGATGATATTGAGAATATGGTTAAAAATGCAGAGAAATATGCTGAGGAAGACCGACGGAAGAAACGAGTTGAGGCCGTTAACATGGCTGAAGGAATTATTCATGACACTTTCAGGATTTTAAAACAGACTATCAACAGCTCTCTGAAGCCTTTGTAGGAATTATTAAAATGCAGATTTCCAGGCCCTCTGCCTTTGAACCAGGAGGCCTGGAAGGTGCTCTAGAGTTCACATTTCCAACAAGTTCCCCAGAGATGCTGCTGTGCCCACCAAGGGACTGTACCTTTGAGACATGGAGCTTTATGCTGACAATTACAAAATTTTAATTTCTAGTCTAACCCTTTCTTTTTAACTCCATTTTAATCTACCAATTGCTTACCCAACATCTCCACTTGGAAGTGTGATGTTGCTGTATGTCATCAAGTTGGCACTGACTCATAGATGACCTTTCAGCAGGTTTTCAGAGACAGTTAAACACATGGGAGGAGACTGACCATCCTTCTCTCAAAGAGTAGCTGGTAGATTAAAATCCTGTACAGCATTCTTACCACTAGACTAACAAAGCCTCAAAATTTACTGAACCCTTAAACTTGCTGTCTTTGTATTTTGGTAAATGGCAACTATTTTTACAGTTGCTTGTGCTAAAAACTAGCCCTTTCTTTAAGAGAGATTGGTTTGCTTTTTTTTTTTAAATTTAATTCACTTTATTCCTGTTATACAAAAACTACTGGACCAATTGGCAGCATAAGGATGGATGGTGAAGAGATTGAGATTGTACACAGCTTTAGTTTGCTTGGCTCCACAGTCAACAGTCTTGACACCAGCAGCCAGGAAATTAAAAGGCACAATGCCATGGGAAAGTCTGCTGTTAGGGACCTCTCCAAAGTACTGAAGAGCAATGGTGTCTCTCTGGAGACTAAGGTGTGTCTGATACAGGCCATGGTCTTCGCAATCACTTGTTATGCATCAGAGAGTTGGACAATGACCAGGGAGGATAGAAGGAGAATTGATGCCTTTGAGCTGTGGTGCTGGAGAAGAGTATTGAGAGTACCATGGACTGCTAGGAAAACAAACAGATTTGTCCTGGAAAGGGTTAAACCGGGTGGCTCCTTGGAGGCAAGGATTCTGAAGCTCCGTCTAACATACTTTGGACATGTTGTGAGGAGAGACCCGTCCTTGGAGAAGGACATCATGCTTGGGAGGGTGGAGGGACGGGACAGGAGGGGAAGGCCCTCTATGAGGTGGATTGATTCAGTCACTGGGATAATCGGGATGGGAGTGTCAGAAACAGTGCGATTGGCACAGGACAGAGCAGAGTTTAGGGCTGTTGTACATAGGGTCTCTATGAGTCGCAAGTGACTCAACGGCACATAACAACAACAAACAACAACTATGTGGTAGCTACAGCGGGAGCCTGGGTTCTCTGCACAGAGACTCTGCTGTGAGTCTTTATAAGTAAGTCAATGAATTCCTGGCAGAGAGACTTAGTCAGCATGGTGTCCTTCCAGAAGTCTGGGGTTAAGTAATGGTAGGTCTTGGAGATGGCCTCAAAGATGACCTTGGAGAGACTGCCCAGGGTAGCTAGGCAGCCTGTGGCTGAGGTGTGTTGTTGTTGTTGTTAAATGCTATCGAGTCCTAGACAACTCATAGTGACCCTATGAACGAAAGACCTGCACACTTGTATCATTTTCATCGTTTCTCCAAGTCCATAGAGTTTCCAGAGGCAAGCTATTTTGGAAGTGGATGCCTCTCCTGCTTCCATGCTTGTTTTAATTGGGAAGTTCCACCAAACACTGTCCACCATGGATAACCACAATCACATTTGACACCTCAGTGTCACAGTGTTTAGCATCACAGCAAACAAACACGAGTTGCCTCTGTACAGCAAATGGACAGACCAGTGCTATACCACTTAGAAGCATTTTTGATCAAAAACAAAACCAGGCCAGAAGGCTGCAGATTAAAATCAGCCACCTTTGACTTGGTAGTATAATTTTCTATCCACTAGGCCAACAGAGCTCTCTTGTCATTGTTGGTTTTTTGTTAAGTGCTGTCAAGTCATAGACAACTCATAGTGACCCTATACATGAAAGACCTGAACATTTGTATAACTTTCATAATTTCTGAGGTGTAGCAGTCATCAATTTCAGCCATCAGTAGCAGATTCCTGGGCATGGGGGCTGAGATGACACCAGAGCCTTGGGGCAGGGATAAGGCGCAGCAGCACAGAACCACCGTGCCCTGTCACCTTGCAGGGAATGGTGTGAGGCTAACCAATCTTGTTCCCCTAGTAGCCATGCAGTACAGGGGCAATGGAGACCCTGGCAAGGATAATGGCCCCATGGATGGCAGTTGCTAACTCCCTGGAGTGCTCAGTGCCTAAGCCAGCATGGCCATTATAGTCTCCAGTGGTGACAAGGGCCTTGAACCTGGTCTGATGGCTGGCATGTGTCTGCTTCTGCACAGGCACGGTTTTTAAGATCTCATCATTGAGGGACATCCCCAGGAAGAAGTCAGTGATCTTAGACTCCCTGATGAACAGTGAGAAGAAGCAGACAGGTCTCCTTGAAGGACTTGACCTTCAAGTCTTTGACCAGATGGCTAGCTTGGTGACCTCGAGCCTCTCCCTGTCCTTGGCTTTGCCTTCCAGAGCTCAATGGCCCCTCCTGCAACCCCATTCAAAGCCATGATCCTGACCCACAGGCCACTGCCAAAGCCTCAGCAGAAACTACTGAAGGCTCCCATCCCAGGCCCTCCTGCTGTACTGGCGCCACCTGCCATTTGGGCTTTTCTTAGAGTAGCTGGTTTGCTCTTTTGGCAGTTCATGGGTGTTTCAATACCCAATTCTTCTCCTGTCTTATTTCTTCTGGCGTGAAGGAAGTGTGACCAGAGTGCACCTGTGAGCTTGCACAAGGATGAGGAGACTTCGTCTCCCTTCCTTTGGGCATATTTTTAGGAATAAGCAATCCTTGAAGAGAGATGTAATTCTTGGAAAGGTAGAAGGTCAGCAAAGGAGAGTAAGACTCTCAATAAGCTAGAATGACAAAGTGACCACTACAATGGGTTTGCTCTAAGCATGCCAGAGATTTTAACGATGGCGCAGGACAGGACAAGGTTCAGATGTGCTGTTCACAGAGTCACTGTAAATCATATTTTTTTTATGGCACCTAACAACAGAACAAAAATGAGCAGCAACTCCTCACGTATTTTATTTTTTTTTTCCTCACATATTTTTAAACCCCATCTAATCCACCAGGGAAAAAAAATCTTGTCTCTATTCTCTCAAGTTTATGCACTCAAGACTGAAATCAGGATTTGACCACTGTGTGTCTCCTCTTCTGAGAATACTCTGTTTCGAACCGCCTTCATATCTAACTTGGATTATTGTAAAAGTCTTCACCACAGATTATTTTCAACCTCGCTGCTGCTATGTTTCATGTAAAAATATAAGGCAGATCATGCCACTCTGCTGTTCAAAACCCTGCCACAGCTCCTCCTTTTTGTCAGTAGAATATAAAGTCTGTACGATGGCCTGCAAGGCCCTGTGCCTTGTTGCCTCCATGACCTCTTGTCCTACTGCTCTGACAGGCTGCTTCTGCACCCATGGGCTTCCTGGCAGTTCTACGTGTGCTGGATGTGCACCTTCCCAAGGCCCTCGGGCCTGCTGTCCTGTTTGAATTCTTTTTCTCCAGGTATTACTTTGCTTAAGTGTCTCCTCCTTTAAAGTTTAGTTTCAATATTACCTTTTCACAAGAGTCACCCTTAGGGGAGCTCAGGTGGCCTAGTGGCAAGAAACTGCACTGCAATCCCAGAGGTATACAGTTCAAATCCACCCGATGCTCTGCCGGAGAAGGAGGGGAAATCTCCTCCTGTACCAGTCAGATCTGATTTGACGGTACACATAAAAAATAACAAAATAAAAATAATTTTTTTTAAAAAAAAAGTTAGCCTGACCAAATTACACTTTTCCTCAATCCTTATTCTGCTAACCTTGTCTGATTCCCCCCCCCCTTTTCCTTTAGAATGTCCAACACACAAAAAAACTTACTTACTTATTGTGCTAACTATCTTATTTCCTCTGATAGAAGGTAAACTCCACAGAAGAAGGGATCTTTATTAGCTCTGTTTACTGATATATCTCAAGCACTAAGGAGAGGACCACAATAAAACATGTTGAATTTATTAAGAGATTTCAGTGAATGAATGAATTCCAGGTCTCATGAATCTGGGCTAGGCAAAAGCCTGGGAAACAGATGAAATGCGTTCTCAAGCAGAAGGAGGGACCTTCTTCCACCTGTGAAAATCGTCCAAAACAACTTGCAGGAGCAGCCTATCATGCTATAAATGAAGGGCTGCAGAAGCCAGAGCACCTACTAGGAAATCTATGTGGCCTCACCCTACCCAGTTCATCATCTTCTCTTGCATAAATAAAGGCTAACTCTTCTCCTCAGAGCCAGGAGAGACCACTAACACAGTGCAAGGGTTGCCCTTTGGAAGGACAGTGGGTTAAGAGCATAGGAGCAATTGCACTGGTGCTTTGGTACATTATCTCATTTAATTATCCCAAGAACCCAGCTGACATTTCTATGATCACCATTCTATAGAACAGGAAAGCAAGGCTCTGGGGAGTGGACACATCTGCTTGATGCACAAATTAATGGGCGGTGGAACTCAGAGTCCAGCCCAGGTTAGACCAGGACCATTCAACTTTCCAGGCAGCCCTGAGCAATCAGCACCATCTACATCGAGGGCCTTTCTGGCGGCTTCAGGAAGCTCTAGTCCTAGCCCCCACTCCCATCCCCTTTCTCCTTCAGCTTCCTAACCAAACTATACCTGGATATGGTGACGAGAGAGTCGTAAAATCTCCTGTGCCATCTGCAAGGTTTTGGAGTCCATGACCAGGTACAGCAGATGCAGGAGGGCAAGGAAGCCTGCCCCTCTCAGGTCTGTGGCTGGATTTGCCCCTGTAACAGAAACAAGGCAAGTGGGGTGGGACAGTGAGCTCTGCTCCCTTGAGCTCCAAGGGCTTGGTTAGGAATTTGCCCTCAGCTTGAGAAGCCCAGCTGGCTTCCTGTCACAGTTAGAGCAGCCCTGTGACCGCTTAGGATGGAGGCCAACAGGCTGATCTTCCAAAGCCTGGGAGGTCCCTCCACGTCTGCCTTCCTGGCAGTCAGCCGTCTGTTGCCCTTGACCCTCCAGGGATATTTTCCACACACCAGGCAGAAAAGTTCTTTATAAATCAGTGGATGCTGGACATTTGGTTCTCGGACAAGATTTGGATGTCTTCTCCCGACTCTTCCTATTAAGTACAACTGGAAACTCTGAACATTAATAAAGAAAACAAACAAGACGACTCTTTTCTTTTTCCCCCTAACATAGAAATGCTAACGAGAGCAGAAAAGAGCCTCAAGGAAAATAAGCCCACTAGCCAAAACACAGGAAAAGAGCAAGACCAAAAACATTAGACAACTTCTACCCTACTCCAGTCAAAGACTGTGGAATATACAGTGGCTCCATGCACAGCTAACACTGATGGGAGAGTGGAGTCTTCCACTCTGGCCCAACTGTAATGAATGTTTCTTATCTCCACCAGGGTTGTGACAGTGAAGATCCTGGGAGCTGGGACTTCTATAGTAAGGAGTTCCTGCCTCCTTTATGATGTTATTGTTGTGTCATCAAGTCGGATACAACTCGTAGCTGACCTCTAGCAGATTTTCAGAAGCAGGAAATTGTATGGGAGGAGACTGCCTATCTTTCTCTCAGGGAACTGATGGTGGATTCAAACTGCATGCCTTCCTGGTTGGCAGTGCAGCTCCTTACCACGAGGCTGCCAGAGCTCTTCTGTGATGTTAGCAGAGGCCTCTCTCAGCCAGGATACTACAAGAGATCAGCTGGGGTACCAGAACTTCCATCTTTATCTGTAATGAGGTAATCACTCTCCCTTCTCTTGCCTGCATGGTATCAGAGGATGTTTGCTAAGACAAAAGATTTAATAAGGTCTAGAGTTCACAGTATAATAGCCAAAATGACCAAGATACAATAAAAAATCACTTGTCATACCCAGAACTACACGGACACCAACAGTTAACAGAGGTGCTGTAATTGTTTGGCCAGGATTCAAAAAATGTTATGGTAGAGTGTTCTGGTAGACTAGCCCATGGACCAAAATCCACAGGCCCAAAGTCTCTAGCAGTTTGAATCCACCAGCTGCTCCAAGAGAGTAAGACAGCAATCCTCTTCCACAAGATTTACATACTCAGAAATCCAATGGAGGGTCAGCTAGGACGCAGTTCCAACTTGCTGGCAATCAGCTAAGTTTCTGAGACAGTAGGGAGAACAAAAGCCCCTTCAAGATGGAACTTACTCTTTATTTTGGCCTGTGTTCTAGAGCATGTTTAAGAGTCTCTTCTGACATCAGTTTTGGTCTTTTCTTTCTTGTCTTTACCTCTTGCTTTTTTCATGGATGATGTCCTTGATGTCATCTTATAATACATCTGATCTTCAGTCATTAGTGTTTAATACATCAAAACTACTCTTGAGATAGTTCATAAATTAAGTCAGAATAGAGTCATATTTTGGTTCTCATGGACTTGCTTTAATTTTCTTCCATTTTGGTTTGAACCTGCACATGAATGATCTGTTTCAGAGTCAGACCCTGCCCTTGTTTTGACTGCTGATATCAAGCTTCTTCACCAACTCTTTCCACATAATGTCTGTTTAGACTATTAGGTGAGGTCTATGTACAAAGTTACTACCTATGCATTTGTGTTGTTTTGTTTTGATTTTTTTAAAAGGCATTTGCAATGAATACATTATTCTACTATGTGATCTCTATCCTCCTTCTGTCACCGAAGCCATATTTTCAACTACTAGTCCTTATTGTTTCAGTTTTTGCATTTCAGTCATTAATTATGATTAATGCATATTGACTGTATATTTGAGATGAACAGAAGATTTCAGAGAGCAGCTAAAGAAGAGAAAGCAAAGCATTATAAAGAAATGTGCAAAGAGCTGGAGTTAGAAAACCAAATGGGAATAACACACTCAGCATTTCTCAAATTGAAAGAACTAAAGAATAAATTTAAGCCTCGAGTTGTAGTACTGAAGGATTCTGTGGGAAAAATCTTGAATGTTGCAGGAAACAGCAAAAGAAGATGGAAAGAACACACAGAGTCAGTGTACCAAAAAGAACTGGCCAACACTGAACCATTTCAGGAAGTATCATGTGATCAAGAACCCACACTAACAAAAGAAGTTTAAGCTTCACTGAAGGCACTGGCAAAATCCAAGGCCCCAGGAATTTGTGGAATACCAACTGAGGTGTTTCAGGAAACAGATGCAGACATGTGCTCATTAGCCTATGTCACGAAATTTGGAAGACCTGGCAAACCAGATGAGATCTGTATTTGTTCCCATTCTCAAAACAGGTGATCTAAGAGAACACAGAATTTATCGAATATCATTAATATCACATGCAAGTAAAATCTTGCTGAAGATTATTAAAAACAAGCTGCAACAGTCTATCAACAGAGAACTGCCAGGAATTCAAGCTGGATTCAGAACAGACCATGGTACAAAGAATATTACTGTTGATGTCAGATGGATCTTGACTGAAAGTGGAAAATACCAGAAGGATGTTTACTGTTGTTGTTGTTAAGTACTGTTCAGTCAATCACAACTTTTAATAATCTTATAAACAAGAGATCTGAACCTTCCTCTGTCCTGCACCATGCTCACCCACCTTGTTGAAGGTCTTCCTCTCTTTCTGACCCTAGACCTTTCCCAGCATGACATATTTTTCCAAGGACTGATCATTTTTGGCAACATGCCCATGTTTGTTTAGAGGGAGTACCTTGGTTGTATCTTTTCAAGAAAGACATTTTAAACTTGTATTTTACTAACTATGTGCACATATTTTACTGTGTGGATCATAACAAATTATGGATATCACTGAAAAGAATGGGAATCCCAGGCCACTTAATTGTGTTCATGTGAAACCTATACACAGATCAAGAAGCAGCTGTCAAAGTAGAACATGGTTTTTTTATCAAGAAAGGTGTGTATCAAGGTTATATCCTTTCTCTGTAGATATTCAATCTGTACACTGAGCAAACTCTTTAAGAAGCTGGACTATATGAAAAAGACTGGGGCATCTGGATTTGAGGAAGACTTATTATCAAAAATCTGTCATGAAGATGGCACAACCTTGCTTGTAGAAAGTGAAGAAGACCTGAACCACTTACTGAGGGAGATCATACTATTGCCTTCAAAATGGATTACACCTCAACATCAAGAAAATAAAACTCTTCACTGGACCAATAGGCAACATCATGGTAGATGGAGAAAAGACTGCAGCTGTCAATAACATGCTTTTACTTGGACTATCAATCTCCATGGCAGCAGCAGTCAAGAAATCATAACAGGACAGCAGTGAGCATAGTAAGATGGTGAAAAAGAGAAGAAAAAGAGAGCATCTAGGACCTGTCCAAGTACATCGACAAGACCATCAGGTGATGTTTCAAGGAGGTAGCAAAGCAAGTGGAATCCTGAAAGTGTCTGACTCCCTCCTCAACCTCGTGCTGGACTGCACCATCGAATACATGAGAGAACCTGATGACCAGTACAAACTAATGGAGGACACGAGGCGGTTGGGCATGGTGGTGTGCCAGAGCACATCCGTGGTGCTCATCTGCCCACAGGATGGCATGGGGACCATCCCCAATCCCTTCATCCAGCAGCGGGATGCCTAGGGGGAATGGTGGGGACAAGCTGCCCCCAGGTAGACCATTCCCAACCCCTTCATCCACCAGCAGCATTGGGGGGGGGGCGGGGACACAGTAGGGACACGCCACACCCCCCCATGGAGGCCATTCCCAACCATCCAGTATCAGCATGCTTGGGGGGGCACTGTGGGAACACATCACTCTATGGATGCCATCTCCAGCCATCTAGTAACAAGATGACACCTGGGGGCACAGCAGGGACACACCACTCAATGTAGGACATCTCCAACCCCTTCATCCACCAGCAGGACACTTAGGGACTTAGGGGGCACAGTGAGAACTTGCCCTCTCTCCTGAAGTCCTACCAGATAGACCCCTTTTTCTATAGGTTTTTATTTAGTTAATAAAATTGCAACACACAAACACACACACACACACACATACACACACACACACAGAGAGAGAGAGAGAAATCATAGCAGGTACTGCTCTGGGAAATCTCACCGTCAAGGGCCCCTCCAAAGTTCTAAAGAACAAAGCTATTGAAAGTGCTTTTGATTCAAACCAGGGTATTTGCAATTGCTTGGTATCTATCTGAAACTTGGACAATGAATATAAAGACAAAGAATCAATGCCTTTGAATTGTGGTGTCTGTGAGGAGTATCGACTACCTCCTGGACTGCCAAAACACAAACAAATCTGTGTCGGAGGAAGTACAACCAGGGTGCTCCATAAAGGCAATGACAGGGAAATTCTGTCTCATATACTTTCAGTAGCATGTTGGGAAAGGTAGAGGGCCAGCAAAAGAGAGGACAATCGTCAAGGAGATGGACTGACAGAGCGACGGTAACAGTGGGAGCAAGGACAGTGGAGATTGTGAGGATGGCACATCAAAGTGCAAGGTTCAGCTCTGTGGTTCTCAGGGCTGCCAAGAGCTGCAGTAAACTTGATGTCATCTAACAACAAAGATGCCACAGCCTAAGTCCTGGCAGCCATGAACATATTACATCGCATAGTGAAAGGCAATAGGAGTTACTAGTTATCACACAGAATATGAATAGTGTAGTGGTTAAAGCTAAAAGAAAGGTCAATGTTTGAATTTTCCATGTTGGTGAAATCTTTCTCCATGTGGCAGTCATCCTCCATAAAGATTTACAGCCTTGGAAACTACTGGGCTTTCGGATTGGAAGCTGCATTACAAAAGTATGCAGCTCGAATCCACTAGCTGCTCTGCGAGAGAA